CCTCCAATTTGTCTAGGTCCTTCTGTATCCTATCCCTCCCCTCCAGCGTATCTACCACTCCTCCCAGTTTAGTATCATCCGCAAATTTGCTGAGAGTGCAATCCACACCATCCTCCAGATCATTTATGAAGATATTGAACAAAACCGGCCCCAGGACCGACCCTTGGGGCACTCCACTTGATACCGGCTGCCAACTAGACATGGAGCCATTGATCACTACCCATTGAGCCCGACAATCTAGCCAGCTTTCTACCCACCTTATAGTGCATTCATCCAGCCCATACTTCCTTAACTTGCTGACAAGAATACTGTGGGAGACCGTGTCAAAAGCTTTGCTAAAGTCAAGAAACAATACATCCACTGCTTTCCCTTCATCCACAGAACAGTAATCTCATCATAAAAGGTGATTAGATTAGTCAGGCATGACCTTCCCTTGGTGAATCCATGCTGGCTGTTCCTGATCACTTTCCTCTCATGCAAGTGCTTCAGGATTGATTCTTTGAGGACCTGCTCCATGATTCACTAAGCTGATTCACTAAGCTGAATGAAACCAAATCCTATCTGATATTCTGTATATAATTTTTTTTATTTAATTTCAGCAATCATCTTACACTTTCCAAACAAGTATTGACAATTTTGTTTTGACTTATGATCCGATTCTGCAAAGGCTTCTCTGCACATGCTTACGTTTAAATACCTGAACATTTCTACTGAGTTCAGTGGGACTACCCACGTGCTTAAAGTTAAATCTTTGCAGGATTGGGGCGCTAATTTGTATAACTGATAGTTATAGCCAAGTACATTATATTGTTATTACAGAACACACACAGAAATAAACACACTGTATTCACATGCCACCCACAAAGCTCACTTCTGGTAGACATAGCTGCATCCTACAGAGTGCAGTAGCAATGTGATATACTAAATATGACATCTTTCAGTGTTTGCATTTTCAGGTAGCTCCTGTTCTCAGGGAGAACCACACTGGGACTATGTATTACTTTGATATTTTTTCTATGTAGTCCCTCTCGATATTTACACTTTATTCAGCCTGTAGACACCCAACACTTACCACACTTAGATTTAATTGAACAATTTGATTGTAAAAGGATTGAGGATTAATGTCAAACATTCATCAGAAATACACTATCCAAAGTGAGCAACAGGCACATATGTTCTGAAAGCATTTCCATCTTTTATATGCCTTTACTCTTTTATGTACCTTACAAAAAATACTGCCCCACATCACTCACTTAAAAAATGACAATTCATCTTATTTATCAGATGATTGTTCAGTAGATTATAGAAAACTTCTCGTATAGTGGACATAGTTAGAAAGCTATCTTTTGCCTTTTAACCATCAAGTAAAATATTACTAATGATATACCCCCATTATAAGTGAAGGGAATAGGTACTCATGCTGGTAACATCATTGCTCCCAGTACAAAGGAAGATACTTTAATTGTATCCTCTGTATGATGTTTACATGTGGCAATTTGAAATAGTGAGGACAAGGAGGAAGAACATACAAAATGAGTGAATTCAACTGCTGAGTCAATCTTTAACTTTAAAAACAATACTGATGAAAAAAGGGTCATGTCTCACACACTGCATTTTTGTAGGGTTGCCCGGACTGCTCTATTTCAGTTGACTTACTGGTTGTATTTGGAATTCTTCTGAATAAGCCATTTTCGATAATCTCACCCATACTTGAAGACCATAAATAGACCCCCATCAGGTTCCCACTCCTTTGGGTGCTGAGACTAATTTTCCTTACTCTGACAGCTGAAGATTTAGTATGTGTTCCAGGCCACAGTACCATGGCTGTATATTATACCCTGACTTTGGTAACAAAACAAATAATAAAAAAAGACTTCACCTATGAAATATTTACCCAAGCCAATCTGTTACTGAGTGAACTTTTTCTATGACTTTTTACGTGTTCAGAGTACTGAAATACAGAGTATAGGAAGTGACCTGCATCTTTGAGTGGTTTTAAACTATTAGCTAGTATTATTAAATGATTTAAAACAATTTTAGTTTAAAATAAAATGTATTTTGCTTGCACTAATGTGACCAATGACTTTTCTATAAAATCCTAGTCATGTTTTGATGCAGTCATGACATATCCGGCATTAGCCATGACAAACAAGCATCCTTGGTCATTACCCAGAATTATGAAGTGATGCAAAATTCAGATTACCAAAAAATTAGTGGATTTTAACTTCCATTTATGGAGAGATGAAGTAATACAGAGGCCCTGAACTTCTCTGGGAACTCCCATTCTAATCCTGTCATAATCCACACTGATGGAAATAAAAATTCACTCAAAAGCTACATACACTAATAGGACCAAAGTTCTAGATAATGGTATAAGCAAAGGAGGTACCAAAACACAGCAAAGAAAACTGGCTTGACCACTGAACAGGATCTCAGGTTAATCTAGTCTGTCTGTCTATTTGTAATTCTGCAGTGGGAAACTTTAAATGGAGGAAGGAGCTGCTGTTAGACAAGCACTCAGATTTGTATTAAGGAAACATAATATTAGAGTAAATCAAAAGGACATGACTATTTCAAACACAGCAGGCACAAGCCTTAAAAACCTTTGGATGCCGTCTACTGAGATCCCTGGCCCTCAGAAGGGTTGGAATTCAGACCTTTCCCTAACAGCTGGTTTCCCAGTGACTGCTGAATCTGAGTTCAACTGAGCCTTTCTCAGAATATCTTTATGGTTGTTGGTCCTTTAAATCTGGGGAAGACAAGTAGCTGCAGTGAGCATTTTGCATCTAATTAATACAAGCTCAGTTAGGAAACATTCATCTGGTAAATGAATATTCATACCTCTGATTATGTTCTCTCTGGCCTTCTCTTTCTGTAATCTCCAACCTAATAATATTATCCAGTACTTTTATAGAGTTTTCATCTGTAGATCTCAAAGTGTTTTACAAAGGAAGGTAAAGTATCATTATCTCCATTTTACAGATGCGGAAAATAAGACATAGTGTGGTGAAGTTACTGGCCTAGCAGACCAGTGGCAGTCAGGAATAGTACCCACGTCTCCTGAATCCCTGTCCAGTGCTCTGTTCACTAGGCCACACTGCCTCTAAGTGGATCTAATTTTATCAGAATAATTGTACTATACTCAACGGACTCTTGAAGTGTTTTGCAAAATAATTGAAGAGCAAAAAACACACTTTTCCCCTCCTACTCACCTTGATTTCTCCTTTGGCTCCTTTTTCCCTCTCCATGTTCTATATTCTTTACTGCTCAACAGTTACTTTGTGTAAGATAAGGGAATTAGTTGGCAAGATGGAAGCTGCAATCATTCCTAACTTAGCAAAAGCATTAGCTTTTAACATTGAAGAAATGCAAAATACCTGGCAGCAATCACTTATTAATTTCACAGTGAGAGTGGATAGCCTTTGGGAGCAGCTTGAGGGTAGAGAACAGCTGGTGGCTACAGTGCAGGGCTCAAACATTACTGTGCAGAAATGCTTGCAGTCATTAGAAAATAAAGTTATGATCTGCGAGAAAATAATGAAGATAATGAAAGTGGTAATAGACACAACAAGATAAGGATAATTGGACTGCCTGAGGGAAGAGAAAGCCAAGATCCTGTGGAGTTCTTTTTCTGGCTACAAATACTTGAAATCCCGGAAAAGGGGACAGATTCAAAATAGAAAGAGCAGACTCTGGTATTTTGGCAAGGATAGCATGTGTCTGAGATCAATAATACAGACAGAGAGCTGTAGCAATCAAAATTAAAAATATTAAACACTAAAGGGCAAATATATCCTTCTTCCAAGACTTTTCTCCACATCTGCAACATCTCTGTTTTCCCTGTGCCACCTACAAAACAGAAATATGGTCTTTCACATTCAATTCAACTTTCCCTAAAACACAGACTTAAAAGGTTAGACTCTCTCAACCTGATCCTCCTGACAGACCTAAAGAAGAATTGCTAGTGTGCTACAGTGATAGACATATTAGAGATGTGTGAATATGTGGCCTCTCAGAGCCAATGAGTTCTTTGGTGGTAATCATGCAGTACAAATCTTTCAAGATCTGAAGGTCTTCAGCCTCTTCTACTGTGCAGCATAAATTACAGGTCCCTCAATGATATCATTTACGTGTGATGTATTCAGTGATTGTTCCTTTCTGGTCAAGAATACTTTGTCATGCCAAAGTAGGAAAAAATCCATAAGTTGACTCATCTGTTGAAGTGGAGACTTCTGCGTTACATAGAGGGTTTTGTCTTTAGTTTGAGTCAGAGATGAGTGACATGAGCTTTTGTAGAGTGATTTAAAGTGGGTGTGTAAAGTTCTTATAAGTCTTGGTAATGTCACAGTATCTACTGAGTGTAAAGCAGTGACACACAATCTTTATCAGCCAAATAGCTACTTTGTTTGTGAACACAGTTTTATAGTTAGAGAAGAATGTAACGTATTTAGTCTGGTCTACGTTTTTAGTGGTGGCCTCAGTTTTTGGGTGCTCATATTGAGCCCCTTTGAAGAAGTATAAAGTATTTGGATTTTCATACACATTAAATGAGCTCTAAAGAATGATTGCTTGTAATTTTTTTAAACCTACAGCACTCCAAGAAGTTAAAAATAGATGAAGATATTTGCTTTGTGACTCATGTTGTAAGTTTTTAGAGTATCAAACATTTATTTTGGTGGCAAGAGGTTGCACAATTGTTTACTTAGATTTAACTGATGCATCCTTAATAAAATATCTTAAGTTTAGTGATTATATACATATAAATTATACAACAGTAAGTGAATAATTAATCAAAACTTACAAACTTTGATAAAGATAAACCATTTACTGTGTCTGTGTTTCCTGATACTGTAGGTTATTATTCCCCTTTTCTGTTGCTTTTCTCTCTGTTTGTAAATTTGAAAAATGAAACTTGTAAAAAGTTCTAAAAATCAGATGAAGATTGAGAACTATTGGATAGTTTATGAAAACTTTGTTATATATATTTCTTTTTACTACAGATCTAATGCATTTGAAGTGCTTGCACTCGATGGAGTTAGCACTGGGATACTTCAGTTTTATACAGCGCAGGAGTGTGCTGACTGGCTGAGAGCATTATCAACTAACATCAGTGATTTGACACTTCAAAATGTACGTTACTTTCTGCATATTTTCCTGCATTTGCTATATTTAAATTATTTTCAATTTCCCAAACATAGTATAATAATTTGTATATAAGGTATAATATGTAAAACAAAAGAGTGAAGGGGAAGAAACAAAATTGTAATAGCATAACACTTTACCTTGAAATCTCCAAGAAAATACAATCTTATTATATAATAGAGAACAACAGAACCTCAGGGTGACTTTATTACTTTCAAAATTTGTGTAGGGCCCAATCGGAAGAGTCTTTTCATTGACTTCATTGAGTTTTGGATAAGGCCTAAATGTATTCTTTTTAAATTCTTGCAGTTAAAGTATGCTTGAAATCTGGTTTCAGAAGTTTGCATCACTTGTTTTGGAAGTATGTGAAGGGAAACTTTGTAACTAAATCAGTGTAATTTAGGGCTGGTCTATATGCAGTTTTTCTACTGCTATAATGAGTTTAGAAACTGATGTAGCTAAAGCATTACAATCCTTTAGTGTGGTCACAGTTGTACCAGTAAAAAGGTGCTTGTATCAGAATTAAGATATTGCTATACATTTAAAAGTAAAGTTTGTAATGTCGGGGCTCACAGCTTCAGCCCAATGGGGCACAACTGCCAGGGCTCAGGGTTTTTGCCCTGTGGCGGGGTGGTAGGCCTTGAGGCTTCTGCCCCATGAGAGGCACCTGAAGCCCTGAACCACACGACCCTGCCAGAGGGCAGAAACCCCAATCCCAAAACCCCAGAAGCCCCACCAATCTGTTAGGCAGAGAAGGGGGGGCATGGTGGGCTCCGGGAGCTGCCCTTTAACTGTAAAAGAGCTGCATGTGGTTTGTGAGCCATGGTGGCCACCCCTGCTATATCCCACAATATTTCATATCTCCACCAATTTTCTGTTACTGATCACCAGAGTAACACAATAGTACATCTTATGTGCATGTACATTCCCATTCCTCGTTGGGAAGGATATGATCAAATTCCCTTAACAGGCTGGGTCAGACGTGCAGTCTGGGAAACATCTCAACAAGCCTGTAAATTAAGCATTGCTCTATTTGGAATATACTTTACCATCCGTACATACAGTGGAGTGAGAGTTCAACCAAAAAGGATCTATTTAGATGCCACACTGATGCCAGGGGACAATACTAATATCGGCCATGTCAGCATAGGTCTTTCATCACAATCAGGAACTTCTGCTCATTGCAAAGCAGTGACCTAATTCACAGAAACATTTTCAGCAAAGTCAGGCTGTCAGGGGACCTGGGGTAGTCATGTTATCTTTGAATACAGAGGAAGTCAGCTGTTGACCAGCCACAGGAGGGTACCTGGAAATGTCAGTGTGTCTACCAAGAGCATGTCTGAATTGTTATGATGCTACTGTGCAGACAGTTACTTCTGAGGAGAAAGATGGAGAGGAGGGGCATGAAAGAGGAACTAAAGGGTCATGGTGGAGAAGAACAGGATATGGAGGAGGAGAACGCATTGACTCTTTCAGCACTACTAAATACTGCATAATCCAAAATGAGCTTCATGCGAAAAGCCTGATAGTAACTATCATATTTACAAACAGAACACATGCTGCAGTTTTCTTGAAGAAGTCCTCTCCGCATCCCATTCCCCAAGTTCTTTTGCTTTTCCTATTATCCTTTCCACCAGTGCGGCACTCTGTGCTACCTCCCCTTCCCTTTTGCCCACACCCTGAATATTTACGTTTGGAAGAAAAAGGAAGCGGAGGAGAAAGATGCACTTCTCTGGTCTCTTTACAGTACTCTGCTTCCCAACACAACCTGTAGCCTCTAAGGGGAGAGAAGGAACAGGAGCCCACAGGCAGGGGAACTGAGACTATGCTGAGCTAGCAGCATAGAAAGGAGCCTGACCTGCATCTACTTCTCTCTCAATGTGTATAGTCAAAGTGTCTCCTGTAGGCTGAGTTGACAACACTGTTTAACTGGACAGTTTTTGGGAGGGAGTTCTGTAAAATAGCCCAGAATTAATCATAGACTCGTAGGACTGGAAGGGACCTCGTAGGACTGGTCCAGTTCCCTGCATTCTCTCCATAGTATACAGTTAGCCATCTATTAAATCACTTGTGATTTTTGTTAACTCTTCTCACAGCTCTTAATTTCTATTATCCTAAACAGAGCATCAGGAGAAGGGTATTATAGGCAGCACACCTGGCAACACCTATAGTTAAGGTTGCCTGTGTGTTTCTACTATAGAGGCCCATTTCAAAGTACTTACAATTTTCTCAAAAATGTACCTCTTTTACCTAAAATTAGTATGTTCTCTTTTTTAAAATTAAATAAAAAAATTGCTTTGAAAACCATTGTTTCTGTACCTTTTTATTATACAGCACTAAAGCCTCAGTAGAAGATTAAATAAATTTAAAATTTGTTCTCAGAATAGGGACATAATTCCTATATTATGGATGTATCATTCATCTGATCAGTGAACACTGGATTTGAGTTGGATGAATTATACGAGTTTAAAAATTGTCCTTTATGCCTGTATATTGGCTGATAAGTGATAACATTATATAACCCAAAATTCCACTGTAAATTAATATGTATGTGTATATAGACTAAGGTGAAACTCCCATTGAGTAGATAACATCTCATGTTTCCAATATGTGCACAAGTGTGCCAAGCAAAGCACAGTGAAATTTCAGGTGCACTAGACAGAGAATTATGGAATATGATCTGTGAAACTGCATATGATCGGAGACAGGAGCCAAGGAATCTTGCTTTCCTACCCACACTAGGTGGGGTGAATGTGGATTAAGGCAGGTCCTTGAAAAAATCCTGACTACTTCTATAACCCATAAAAATTGCACATGGAATAAGGCAAAGGTTTCTGCCTCATGGATTGCACCTTATGCATTACACAGCATTCTGTGGCTGTCTAGCAAGTAGTAGCACATGAGAGTAGACAACTAGAGGCTTCCCCACCCGTGCCCCCATTACCGCCAAAAAGTTGAAGGATTGCTTTATAAATAAAGGGAACATTTAGTTAGAACAGAAACTCATTTATCTCATTTTATTAAAGTGGACAAATTTAGTCCTACTACTCATTAAAGTGATATTCAGCAGCTATTATTTTATTATATTTTAACTAGTGCCCCCGCTGAATAAAAATGTGTACATCCCTGTACCACATGATGGAATTTTTTTGCTGCTTCATTTTTTTTTATAAACATGAATTTCATATAGAAAAAACTACATTAAAAATAGAGGTTGCAAAGTCAGAAGTCAGGAAGTGACAAAGATAAGGTTGCATGTGCAACCCATGACCTTCCCCCAGTGTGTACTGCATTACAATACAGTAATTATATGATCACTTATTTGTTTTCTCCAGGTTCCCTGTGTCACTTCACTCTCTGGGTGGTGAACAGGTCTAGGGTCCAAAGAATCCTTCCTTATTCATTGTACTAATTGTATGGTGTGTCGTGAATGAGGCTGTTGTCCATAGTACTGATCTGATCTAATGTATTCTACAAATACATTAGAAGCAAGAGGAAGACCAAGGACAGAGTAGGTCTGTTACTCAATGGGGGATGGGGGGAGAGATAATAACAGAAAATGTGGAAATGGCAGAGGTGCTTAATGACTTCTTTGTTTCGGTTTTCACCAAGAAGGTTGGTGGCGATTGGATGTCTAACATAGTGAATGCCAGTGAAAATGAGGTAGGATCAGAGTCTAAAATAGGGAAAGAACAAGTCAAAAATACTTAGACAAGTTAGATGTCACCAGGGCCTGATAAAATACATCCTAGAATACTCAAGCAGCTAACAGAGGAGATATCTGAGCCATTAGCAATTATCTTTGAAAAGTCATGGAAGATGGGAGACATTCCAGAAGACTGGAAAAGGGCAAAAATGGTGCCTATCTATAAAAAGGGAAATAAGGACAACCGTGGGGAATTACAGACCAGTCAGCTTAACTTGTGTACCCAGAAAGATAATGAAGCAAATAATTAAGCAATTAATTTGCAAACACCTAGAAGATAATAAGGTGATAAATAACAGTCAGCATGGATTTGTCAAGAACAATCACGTCAAACCAACCTGATAGCTTTCTTTGACAGTGTATCAAGCCTTGTGGATAGGGGGAAAGTAGCACATGTTGTATATCTTGACTTAAGTAAGTCTTTTGATACTGTCTTACATGACCTTCTCATAAACAAACTAGGGAAATGCAACCTAGATGGAGCTACTATAAGATGAGTGCATAACTGGTTGGAAAATCCTTCCCAGAGAGTAATTATCAGTGGTTCACAGTCATGCTGGAAGGGCATAATGAGTGGGGTCCCGTAGGGATTGGGTCTAGTTCTGTTCAATATCTTCATCAGTGATTTAGAAAATGGCATAGAGAATACACTTATAAAGTTTGCGGACGATACTAAGCTGGGCGGGGGGTTGCAAGTGCTTTGGAAGATAGGATTAAAATTCAAAATGACCTGGACAAACTGGAGAAATGGTCTGAAGTAAATAGGATGAAATTCAATAAGGACAAATGCAAAGTACTGCACATAGGAAGGAGCAATCAGTTGCACACATACAAAATGGGAAATGACTGCCTAGGAAGGAGTACTGCGGAAAGGGATCTGGGGGTCATAGTGGATCACAAGCTAAATATGAGTCAACAGTGTAACGCTGTTGCAAAAAAAGCAAACATCATCTGGGATGTATTTGCTGGAGTATTGTGTCCAGTTCTGGGTGCCACATTTCAGGAAAGATGTGGACAAATTGGAGAAAGTCCAGAGAAAAGAAACAAAAATGATTAAAGGTCTAGAAAACATGACCTATGAGGGACCATTGGAAAAAACTGGGTTTGTTTAGTCTGGAGAAGAAAAGACAGAGAGGAGATATAACAGTTTTCAAGTACATAAAAGGTTGTTACAAGAAGGAGGGAGAACAATTGTTCTTCTTAACCTCTGAGGATAGGACAAGAAACAATGGGCTTAAATTGCAGCAAGGGCAGTTTAGATTGGATATTAGGAAAAACTTTCTAATTGTCAGAGTGGAATACACTGGAGTGGAACCACTGGAATACATTGCCTAGGGAGGTTATGGAACCTCCATCATTGGGGATTTTTAAGAGCAGGTTGGACAAACACCTGGGTCAGGAATGGTCTAGATAATACTTAGTCCTGCCTTTGAATGCAGGGGACTGGATTAGATGACCTCTCAAGGTTCCTTCCAGTTCTATGATTCTATGGTACACCTTGCCATGAGCACATCCCAACTGCTATAAAATAAAAATTTTAGTAACAATCTTTCTTCCTTCTCAGTCTGTAGGAGAAATAGGTTGATTAGTTTATCGGAGTCTTATGGTTAGGGCAGTGAACTGAGGTCCAGGAGACTAAGTTCTGTCCCTACAACTACTACAGTCTACATGTGCAAGACTAATCACTTAATCTTTCTGTATTTAAGTTCTGTTTCTGCTGTATAGTAGTAATAATATTTCACTTAAAAGGAGTGAAACTTATCAGAAGCGTCAGGGAGACAGAAAAGTCTAAATCAACAGAACTCCATATTTGGTGCAGTCAGTTAAATATTGTGCAGCAAGAGAGATGAGCAGCTTCACATTGAACAATGAACTAAAGAGAAATATTGAACAACTGCCTTCATCTCTGTCCCATTCCAAATTGTGCACAGAGGCAAAACAATTAAGCACATTCTTAACTTCAAAGTGCTTAAACACTTTATTGAATTGGGGTGCAAGTGAGGAAGGTAATATGTATCTAAAGAATGTATTATAATGCAGCCTCATGAGGGGCAGAGCTAAATTTATATAGGCATTCCTAATTTTGTCAGTTCCTGATTTTTGAGGGCTTCATTTTGCAACCTTGATTTTCTTTTAATGTTGTATTTTTGTATGGAAACATATATAAATGTGTATTAAATATGTCCTTGAAAATGAATTAATATGACAAATGACAACATCAATATAGTCATCACTCTGACTACTCTTTAATCTCCGTTTTTCTGCAGATGAAAATGGCAAATAAATGCTGCTCTCTGTCACACCAGGTAAGATTTTAATTGTATTGTCCATAAATATTTACCATTAATGAAATCTCTTTAAAAATTGCTGGGGGAAAAATCTGCCTCCATGCAGTTGCTGTAGGATGCAAAAAGTTTGGAGCTACATGTAGACAGAACAAACATAATAGTAAAATGTAAGGATACTCCATTACAAATGCACTGTGTTCATTTACTTTGAAAAGTATAGTTTTAGTTTTCCTCCACAATCATAATAGTCTAGCTAATGAATTGCATTCTGTTTTATACAAATAATGAAATCTTACTAATATGGTCTGTCACTGCAGCAGCCTGCTATTCAATCCTTGCTGAGAAATGGGGAGAGGCCACTTTTTTGTTTTTATGAGTTGTTTTATGGGTTTTCAGACTGGTGAAGTGAGAATTAGCCAGGTTATACTTCTAGCATGGAAATGATTTTCATAAACTGAACTGTACTGCAATCAAAGGCTGATTCTAAAATCATTCTAAAACCTGTTAGAGTCAAACATAAGTTTGTTATACAATTAACAACTCATACATTAGTTCATCTCTTACTTTGTTTTGTCATCTTGTTTGTAAAATCTTGTTGGGAGATTCATAGAAACTTTTAGGAGGTTTATTAAATTTCTAACCCAGTAGCAATTTTTGTATCTAGGAAATCACTTCACTTTTCTTATGGGAGAATCAATATTATGCGGAATTAAATAACTCGAGAACTATAAAAGAATTTTAAGTGCATTAGAGAATGAGCCCAAAAGTTACATCAAAAACAAAATGAATGGATGTTCCATTGAAATTTTAGTTTCTCACATAGTTCTTTCTCGTGAAACAGCCTAATGTGGATAAAATATATAATTAAGATTAGCAAAAAAAAAAAAAAAAAAAAATCATTGAAACTAGGTGTCAGTTGCTAGATTGTCTCTCAATTACTGAAATTTACGCAAATATTTGCAGGGAAGAATATGCATCTTAAGACTCTTTTTTTGAAGTACTGCTATTTATTTAAATTGATATCCAATAAGGGTTGATGAAAGATATTCTGAATAATTGTTTTGCCTACCTGTTTGCCTATTGTTTTGTCGTAGTGTATAAATAACAAATACTACTAATAATGTAATTTGTGCTCCCATTGGTACCTAATGCACTTGGGGGAGCACTTTTATGGATCTATATGGATGCTAAAATCAAGCATAGGCTGAATAGCATCTGTTTTATAACTTACTATGTGAAAGGCTGAATAAAAATTTCTGTTTGAAATCAACAGGAGTTTCACTGAAGGAAGGTTTGCAGGATTCGGTGCAAATGCTAGAGCAAGATATTAAAGAGAGAAGGACAATGGGGCAGAGTTAACTATGAGCTTTTCCCCTTAATTCCTGACTTTTGCAAGTGGTTGATTTCTTAATGTTAATGTTGCACCAATATGAATTGAGTACACATAACTTTGTTTTTCAAAAGAAATACTTGTCTCTGCAACATATGATAGAGCAATGCTGTTTCCATTCAAGATGCAAACATATTATAAGAAACGAATATTAATTTCAGGAACAGCAGAAGCTAAGGTATGCCTATAAATGACTCTGCTGGGGAAGGTACTGTGCAAAAAGGGGAAAGAAAACAAAGATTATATAGAACTTGGCAAGATGAAGTGAATAAAAGGAACAACAATATGACTTTGAAATGCCCTGTGAAATTGTGCCCTAAAGAAATGTTCAACCAAATATGAAACTCTTGTGTACATTTCACCAGGGAATGTGGTTATTTGGACTTTGGAAAGAAAACTTTGCAGTAATAAATGAAAATGGTGGGCAGAAGTGGATTTGAGATGCTTAAGTTTAATGGAGCCTATCAGTGCAAAACTACGTAGGTTTGTGAATCTCTACTGTTTCTTAGTACGTCTGACTGTAAAGGGGAATGAAACTTACAGGGTAGGTGGTGAAAAAAAATATTTGAGAAACTGAAGGAGATTTGAAAAGCTACTTTGATGTGAATTTGTGGAAGGATATTTGTGTATTTTAAGGCTTGGAAATTCTTACAAAAATAAGATAGAAGCTTTCTGTGGAGTTTGTTTGTTTGTTTGTTTTTGAGCATGTATAGTTAGATAGGGTGTATGGCTTTCATTTCTATTTCATTCTGGAACCACAGTTTTCCCCATGAACTTTAAACCCCCAAATTCATTTATCTTATGATTGTCTTCTGAAGACTCTACCTATGCTTGTCCCGTTAGTGTAGGTACTCCACCTTCCCGACAGGTGGTAGCTGTGTCGATGGGAGAAGCCCTCTTGTCAGCATAGAGCTATCTACACCGGGGGGTTAGGTCGGTATGTACTTCATCAAACCTTCATTGTGACCTTCACTTTGCATTGGAACCTGAAATAAGACATTGCATCTGTGCTGAAAACCAACCTAATCATAATGACATCAGTTTATTCTAGACACTGTGTGCTCATGCTAGGGTGGGAAATGCCTTGGAGAGGACTGTGGTGTTGGGGACTATTCTTTTAGTGTCTGGACTTCCAGAAACGAAGTCTAAGGGGGCATTGTAGAAGCTCATGTTGTTGTTAGCACAGTCAGTTGAAACGGGTACCAGAATAAAGCAGATCACAGATCTTTTTTCTAGCACCTGAAGCACTGAAGGATCATTGAACACCACACAGGACCAGGAGTAAAAAGGAACTAAGAAAATACTAGACTGGGAGAATGGAGCAGTTAAAAGCTCCAGCCGATGAAATGCTCTTAAAACATGGAAGATAACTGGAGAAGCTTTAAAAAGCACTTTATTCTATATCTGCAACAATGGGTGCCAGCAAGAAAGATGACAGTGAGAATGTAGCCTTATTTCTGACAATAGCTAGTTCTGAAGCACTTGGTATGTTTAATAGTTTTCAGTTAACTTAGGCAGGGGCTCACTATGAAATTGCACTATAAAAATGTGATGAGTACTGCACTTCACATCACAATGAAACATGAGAGAGATTTTTAAACAGGGAGTACAAAAAGAAGGTAAACCATAGAGGAGTTTGTTACTGATCTAAGGCTGAAGAGCCAATCTTGCAATTTGGGGGGCTAACTGAGTCTCTGACAAGAGGCTAGATCGTGGCTGGGATCTGGAATAAAATACTCAGAAACAGACTACTGGAAGAAGAAACCTTTGACAGAGCAATTAAAATTTGCCAAGCAAAGAAAGTTGCAGTCCTTATGGAGGATGGACACTGCTCTGACGCTATAGACATGATAGAGAATCCCAAATGCTACATGAGAAGAATCATGAGGCAGAAAATCATGTGGGCCTCAAACTTGGAATTCAGGAAAAACAGCACATAGATTTACACACACTGTGGCAATCAAGTAGGAGCGGTGATTGAACATTTGCCAACTCCATTGTCTTATAAAAATAATTGGAGTTACTTGGGACCAATGGATCACTAATAATGAGATCCTTGAAAGAACCAGCCTACAGTCTATGCAGACTACACTGGACATTCACAGGCTTCGCTGGCTGGGACACATGGAGCACATGCCTCAAGATCCTCTGCCATACTCTATGCTCAACTTAAGAACTGCCTGTGACACAGAGGAAGGCCAAAGCTCTGATACAGTGTCAAGGTCAAGCAAGGTCTCAAGAAATTTAGCATTCCCACTGAAAACTGGGGAAATCCTGCCCACAATAGCTGAGTTTGGAGAAGCCAGGATAAAGCTGGTACAGTCACCAGAGGGAAGAGATCCTGTTATTGGTTAAAAGTGCGTCAAGTGCTTTGTCTCATCAAGAGGATACTCTTTTAGAGGGACGGGGACTACAACAATTTAGAAAGAATTTGAGGGCATCTTCCAAGGGATAGGGAAATTCTCAAGAGAGCACAAAAGAAAACTAAAAGAACCCAACTGCCCAACAATCCATGTCCCTAAGAGAGTTCCCTTTGCCCAAAAGAGAAGGCTAAAAGAGCTCAATAGGCTCATTGCTCTGGGAATCATGGAGCAAGAGAAGAATTGACAGAGTGGGTACATTTGTTGGTCATTGTCGGGAGAAAAAAGATGGAGCCCTTCACTTATATAGAGATCCAGAAGAATTAAAAAAAAAAATTAAGGGAACATTTTTGTACTACATGCAAGGGGAGAAATTTTGGGGGTATGACTGATGTTAATTATTTTTCTAGATTTAATGCATCAACATGTTTCTGGCAACTGCTCTTAGAAAAACAAAACATTGGGATATACTGTTTCAGTAAACTAAGGACATAAGAATGGTCACACTGTGTCAGACCACTGGTCCATTTAGCCCAGCATTCTGTCTTCCAGCAATGGCGAGTGCCCAATGAGTGCTTCAGAGGGAAAGAAAAGAACAGGGCAATGTGTCGAGTGATTGTCCAGTCCAAACTTCTGGCAGCAAGAGGTTTAGGGACACCCAGAACATGGAGTTGTGTCCCAGAACATCTTGGCTTATAATATTTGATGGGCCTATCCTCCATGAATTTATAGAATTCTGTTTTGACCCAGTTATACTTTTGGCCTTCACTGGCAATGAGTTCCACAGGTTGACTGTGTGTTGTGTGAAGAAGTACTTCCTTTTGTTTGTTTTAAACCTCCTGCTTATTAATTTCATTGGGTGACCGCTGGTGCTTGTGAAGGGAAAAGGACTTTCCCATTCACTTTCACCACACCATTCATGATTTTATAGATCTCTTTCATATCCCCCTGTGATGAGGTGCCCATCCCACATAAGGCCCCGAAGGGTTAAAGTAGCTAGGCAGGCCAATTAACTACCCAGGATGCACCTGAGACAGGGAGCAGGCCACTAATTGGAAATGGGATCAGCTGGGCAGGAACAAGAAGGGCCTGCATAAAGCGCAGGAGCTGTGAGCAGCAACAGGTTGCAAGGAAGTAGTCTATAGGGAGGAGGGGGCTTGGGCTGGCAAACCCAGAAAGGGAGTGGGGGGAAGCCAGATAAGTAGGAAGAAGCCCAGAGAAACTGCAGAAGCTCAGGGGTAGAACTGTACAGACCTTGGCTTCTTGTT